GACAAGCCCGTTTTTCAACTTTCATTTTCATTTAGAGGATTCTTCTCTTTTTTTTTTTTTTTGGGGGGGTGGGGGAGATGGCGGGGGTCGGGGGTGGGGGGGGGCCGACGGCGGGCAGCGACTCGTTCGTGCCAGCTGTTCGTCGTGGCGAGTTCTCGTTTCATAGGAGCTACCCCCACAATTTGGTGAAAAATGATCATTTACGTTTTCTAGCCTTTCCTTTCACGCGCAGCGGTACGCGCCTAATAGACGACTGCCACACACTCCGTTTTCTAGCATTCTCGTTTCATAGGAGCTACCCCACATAAATGTACCTATTCTTTTTTTCCTTTTTTTTAAGGGCAACGGCCTTGAGATATCATCATTAAGCTGACCGCCCCCAGGCAATTCAGAAATAGTTGGTTTTACAACTTTACTCGTCAAGTTCCATCATCTGGATTCGAACACGGGTCTGTATTTTGAACATTTCATGGGTGTACCCACTGCGCTAGGCTCTTGGGTTACCCCACATAGATGTACCTATTCATATTCAAAAATCGCGAGTTCCGACGTCGATTAAGATATCCGCCAGGAGTCAGAGAAACCTTGCGCGGCGATAGCAGCCGCTGTGTGGCAGGTGACCAATGGTTGGTCGTTCCGCAGGGCATTACGTAGGTTATAACTAGTTTGGGCCTCGCTCCGCTACTGAACATTCCACACGTAATCGGGACTGTTTACGGACCAGATACGACCGATCGAATGCGTCGAAAGTATCGGGACCGTTTCCAGCTCCAGATGTATTTAGCATGTTGTGCAATGGAGCGAGGCCCTTTACCTGCCGTCGATCAATCATCATCATCTAAGATTGGCACAAAGATTTGCCCGGATTCAACGACAAATTTACTAGTGCAGGTGGTACACACCCGTACCGTGTCCTTTTTTCTTTTTTTTTTTACGTATCGTCGAAACCGGTTTTCCCTTTCTACTTTTTCATGTTTCCAGCCACCTATTTCCTCCTCCCCTTTTTCCCATGCTTTTGACCACTCGCTCTGCCATTACTGCCCCAAACACTGTCGGCCATACAGACGCCACGGGAAACAAGCCGGGCCTCGTTTGCTTTCCCCTTACGCGGGAAGGACAGGGAGGCCACGTTCGCCTTATTCCTCCACAAACCTCAGCCAAAACGGGCCGCCGCGCGTGCAACCTATGACGACTTTGAACTGAACGAATGCCGACTAACCACATGACGCATCTAGGTAGGCCCTACGAGTGCTGTGCAGCTCCACAGAGAGCAACAGAGAAGTGCCCCACTGGATCACTCTCCTATCGGATGCAAGGAATCCCGTCTAATTCTTGGACCATCAAATAGATAATACGTAAACAAGAATACACCTCATGCTTGAAGACCCCAAAATTAACCCGGGTCAGAACGGACACCTGAACGTGCGACTGCAAACCACGACCTGCACATGCACTTGGACACCCAGGAGGCCACGTGCAAGTGCAAACCACGACCTGCACATGCACTTGGACACCCAGGAGGCCACGTGAGTTCTCACTACGCTGGTCTTTGTTTTCCCTCTTGAACCGAAAAAGGGCTATTTCCGTGCCACACCCCAATAATGAATAATGCGTTGCCTTCTTTCTTTTTGAGAAAAAGGCAAACGTGGCCAACTTGCACCTCTCAATGGAATGGAAGTCACACCACCACCGCCTCCCCTCCTCTCGTCCTCCCACCGCTTGCCCAGCCAGCAGTGGTCCCACAACAGAGTAGAAATTGCGCAGTCCTATCGCCACAATCGTGGGCGAAGCATATCGAAGCAGAAACCCATAACAACGCTCTATCTTCACCCGAATAGAACGCCCGGTCGTTAAAGCCGTGTCTGGAATGAAAATTGCAGCAATTACGGCCATAATGACCGGGCGTTCTATTTGGGTGAAGACGGTAGCAGCCTATACGAAGGCAGCAATCTGTTCCGACACTCCAGTACAGCTTGATGTCCGACTTCAGTTCTCCCACCAGTAAGAATCGTAAGGGAATCATCATAAATCCCCTTTGCAATCTTACGCCAACGGTTTAAGACCTACCGTAGCACAGGCCTGAACCATACGGTGAAGAACCAAAAGAGTAATCTGTCTCGCCGCATCGCCGCATCCCATCCCGACTCTCTTTCATAGGAGAGTCCGGCCTCCCTTTCCCGCTCCAAAGGTACTGAGTGAAGGGACTACTGCCCGCGGAGAGAGAGCAGCCAGCGGAGTGGTCAACGCGTGGGAAATTAAGCAAACGGAACCTGCGGTGCGGGAAACTGTGAGCGAAGCGGGAGGGAGGGGAGAGAGAACCGACGGGCCTGGCTCAGTTGGAACACCCCTGAACTGTCGATAATAATGTATAACGGCATCGATAAATAGACCCATGTCTGTACATTTCCGTGCCACACCCCAATAACTTGGGTCTGCCTATTTCCTGGAAATATACAGACACCCATGACTGGAAATAGACCCAAATTCGAATAGAGATGATGCATTCCTTTTTTCCTCCACAAAACATCAGGTTACATCTCCTCTATCCATCCCCTCGATCCAGAAGGAGAGCAGAATAACCCAATTCTGAATTACCTGAGGCCGGTCGGCTCGATGATGATAACTCAAGGCAGTCGCCGCGGGAGAAGAAGGGAAGGGAGGGGAGCGAACGTGATGTGACAAAGCCGTTCAGCGCAATCACTGCCAAGTGACTTGTCGCGGATATTCGCCCGCTACCGACAAAAACAGTCGTCAGGTTTAACGATCAAGGCCGGTGTCATGATATGAAAGGAACCAGAGGATTGCAAACAGATATCCTCGCTATGTCTCCGAATAGACCCTCACCGACGGCAAATGCTCTTTCTCCGGGGGCGAGGTCCCACGAGCAAAGAGGATTGGCTTGAACACCTGAATCTGTACTTGTTTGTGGTTTGTGGAAAGAAGCAGAATGTCGAGATTGAACTGCTTTTCCGCATCTATGTTCAAAACACGTCCAGATTCAGGATATTTATCCAACCGTCTTTGCTAGTGGGACCTCACCCCTGGGCTGCCTGCCTTCTTTCATTCGAAGGTACGTGTTCGTGCCTTCTGTTTTCCCTACAGCCTTCACCGGAAGAGGACGCCCGGTCATTATAGCCGTATTTGGCTCAATTTCCAGTCAAGATACAGCTATATGAACGGACGCTCTATTCGAGGGAAGACGATAGGGAACTCAATTAGGAAAAAGTCGAGGAGCTGCTCTATGCTCTCATATATTTCTCTACTAATTTTTTTTATTTTTTTATTTTTTTAAATGCCCATGCGCAGAGCCTCCATCCTGGTGGTGGTAAGAGAACCACCGAGATTGAGGCTTTGCCTGGCGGGCCGCTCCATCTATCAAGATCTTTTCCGACGAATTTATCTGACCACGTGAACCCTGCGTGCTGATACGGATTCACAAAACACAATCGCATTCACAAAACCTCATGATCCGAAAAGAACGACAAGGATGGAAACGCTGTATCATGACCCAACACACAGTAAAACAACAAACAACGATTTTTGAGCACGCAGAGGAGCAATTTTCCTGCTTTCCTCTTGAAAAGGAAAGAAGGACAGTGCTGTATTCGGACACAACTGAGGCAGAAGTCGCAGCTGTGTGACCGCCCGTTTAACACGCTCATACTGAGAACAAACACGCTTTAGGAAAGGTTTTCACCCGACCTCTTGAAAAAGAAGGACAGTACTAAATAATCACAACGGGGTTCCCATTTAGCGTCGGATGATAGAGGAAGTTTAAGATAAGTCACTTCAATGCAATGCAAGTCCTTCTGTTCCTTGAAATCCAGCTAAGTAAGGACTGTCTTTTTCCACAATCTCGGCTCGTGGAGCTTACCTCCCGCAAATGGCGGCGCCCCGCAAAGAAGCACGTACAATATGACCCCTGCACTCCAGATATCCACCTCAGGACCGTAATCTTTCTTCAACACTTCGGGGGCGACGTAAAACGGTGTCCCGACCCTTTCGTGAAACCTCTCCCCTGCGCAAGTCAAGCGAAAAATTGCCCAGAAACGGACCACCGTCCAACGGCAGGTCAGCAAGCCAACCTCGACGAATATATATTGTCACAAAATTATCAGATACAGTCGTCATGGAGATCGCATGGAACGTGAAGATCACCAGTCTACCAGCCTCGGGATCGCCGCACACAGAACAAGCAGAGGATTATGACGAAGATGTAAGGGCAGACAATTGCCACCTCATCAAATGAAACCCAAAACCGGTCAGTGTCCTCTCTCTCTCTCTCTCTCTCTCACACACACACACACACACACACGCATAGAGGCCCATTTCCTTTCCTGCGAGACCTAGGGGGCAGACAATTGTCAACTCATCAAATGAAACCCAAAAACGGTCAGTGTCATCTCTCTCTCTCTCTCTCTCTCTCTCTCACACACACACACACACACACACACACACACACACACACACACAAACACACGCATAGAGGCCCATTTCCTTTCCTGCGAGACCTAGTGCCGGTTGGATTGGGGATTTCTGTTCATTGGCACAGCAAACAGGGACTTGCTCATACTTGTAGTTGGATTTCCGTTCTTCTTTAAACCACCAGTACTTCCTAAAGTCGCGTAGCGTTAACGCTACGCGATTTTCGGAAACGTAAGGGCCACTACAGGAGCGCCCAAATTCATCCAACTAGAAACGTTTCTACTCTATTTTTTTCCGCGGCCCATAGCTGGGCCAAGTACTGGTGGTTTAAGAGTTGTGAGCCTGTGCTCGGTACGATATACTTTGTTGTCCTGCTATTACCCACTGCGCCACTCAACAGCACATTCGTAGGCCGGCGCCCGAGCAAATCAGAAAGACGAGGTGCGCCCAAAAGCAAATTCGGGTAGAGGGGCAGGAAGCACGGGTGCACAGCTAAAAACGGGTACACAGACAGGAGCCACGTAAACAGAGGACGAAGAGGGCGCGACTATTATTATCGCAAACGAAGAACAACCTTAAAGAAGCGGCGAGGAATTTGGAACTAACTTAGCGAAAAGGCAGGACCGACCCGAATGATCCACGAGAAGAGGGAGACATGCAACAGTCATCTGGAAATTCATCGAGAGAATTAATCACTAAGAAGAGACTCGATACGTCAGAAGGACATTGGGTCAGAAAATGAGAGAACCGCGCGCGAGCGAGAAAGACGAACAACTTCAGAAGATAAAAAGGAGAAGAAGAGGAAGAAGGAATAGCGCAGAGAAAGATGAACAATTGCAGCAGGTGATAAGAAGGAACAGCGACCAAAAACCTACCTGGGGTGAAGAAGACGGAAAGACCAAAGTCCCCGACCTTAGCAACGTCCTTCCGGCGCAGGAAAATGTTCTCAGGTTTGAGATCCCGATGCATGACGCCATTCGCATGACAATGTCGAATCACCTCCACGATTTTGATAAAGATACGGGCCGCGTCCGCCTCTTTCATAGCCTTGTTATTCTGCTCCTCGATTAGCTCAAAGAGATCCCCACCTTCGCAATACTCTATAATCAAATGCACCGCTTGCGGATCTTCATAAACCGCCTTCAACGCAACGATGTTGGAATGGCCGTTCAGCTTCCACATGACCGCCACTTCCCTCTTCAAATCCTCGTAATCGGACTCAACAAGCAGTTTACGTCGGTATATCGTCTTACAGGCGACCTTCTCCTTCGTCTCCAAATCTTCACACAGATATATCACCCCATACTGCCCGATTCCAATGCGACGCTCCCTCCGGTATCTCGAATTGACATCGCAAGCAAAAGGCTTGGGAATTGCCGGCCCTACCACGTTGGCCAGGCTGCGAAAAGAGCAATCTGTAGAAAACAAATTGGCACAAATGCGTTCCGCCACTGTCACAACAGCGCCGCATGTTCCTCTTGCGCCCCCCCCCCCCCCCCTCCCTAACCCTTTTCCTCACCCGCCCTCCCTCCACTGGCATGCATCGCCTCTTCGTCGGGGATCCATCACTCATATATCATCATCATCCTTACGCTCCTTCGGATGTTAACCCACCTCACCCTCGTATCACCCATACATCATCATGCTTACGCTCCTTAGGGTTCCACCAAATCAGCATGCACTGCCCTACTGACATTATCAATCACTATTACAAACCGCTCGGCATCTTTGCCCTCTCCCTTGCATCATCACTCATCATCGTCATCATGTACTCTCGCAAATCCATCCCCATCATTTCCCTCCAGATCGCGCAACCCGTGATGACAATCGTCATCCTTCACATTTACTACAGATGTGTCTACTCTCATCACAGCTTTCAACTTCACTAAATAATAATAATGACAAGCACCACCATTACCGAATAATATACAACATCCACGTCAATGGCGCTGCCCGCATCGTAATAGTCTTACACAGTCATTCATTTATCCACAATCAAATCCATTCGTCCACAACAAAATCCATTCATACACTACACATATATACGCCATGCAATTTCGTGAACCCCATTAAAAAACTCTCCTTCTCCATTGTGGTCACAATATAGTCCATCCACCATCCACTATTTCATAAGATCCTTGGTTTCGTCAAAACAACCAAATAATTCACATACAGCACTCTTGATACCGCCAACAAGGAGTCGGTATTCAGATACACACCCTATCCATCACTTCCATCTATTCAAATGCACAGTTTTGTTGCACTTGAATCTACAGAACTTGATTCTGCCGAGTATTAGTCGTCGTTCAATTACAGCTCATCCATCTCTTTTCCAATCTATTCAAGGCAGTTTTGTTACTCTCAACATCCAGCGATTCAATTAAAGACCTTGTTAGTGAGACTGCTGAGAAAAGAGACATCGTTCAATTCCATCCCATCCATCTCTTTGTACCTCGTCAGGGCTCTCAGCGCTTGAATTCCACAGAGTTATTGAACCAGCTGAGTATGTATGAGCCATCATTTAATGACAACCCATCCATGCCTTTCGGCCTCTCCAGATCAGTTTTTTTTGCTGCCCTCATCAAAAACAATCAGCGATTGAATTTCCAAAAAAAAAAAAGAAACTTCCCGAGTACAGCTCTGCATTCAAAAACTACACCGCATCCGTGCCTTGTCATCTATTGCTATCGGTCATATTCATTCAAGTCGTACACCTCACTTCATGACGCAATAAATAAAAATATATCGTCAAAATATGGATCCCTCACCAAGGCATTCCCAGCAGCCAATCTGTTTCCCAAGTCAAAAGCCGGTTCATTTCAACATTCACAATAGAATCGAACATAAAAAAAGCAAGCATGACAACCAAACAACGAATACACGCATGCTGATGCTTCAATCAGACATCCAATCACCGAGATCTACTACACACGTAGACCTCCGCCGTCCTGAAATTAAAAACCGGCATCTTCCTCCTCACTTTCCCAACTCCACTCATACGCACTCAGTCAACCAAAGAGAGCCGCATCAACCTATTCATCGACCTCTACCTAAAGATGAAGACTTTCGCGCACTGCGAGCAAACAGACTGCAAATGCGCTTCAAGTCCGTTATCGAATAGAGAAGGCTGACTCTCACAGCCAAAATAATCGATAGGATGCCCGCTGAATCAAGGGCTCGCCAACACGTTCACCAACGAAGAAAGATAAGAACGCGTGCTCTGAGAGTGAGGAGGTTATTCAAAGACTAACGATGCGTGCTTAAAGCGTGAGGAGATGCAAACAGAGACTAATGATGCGCGCTTTAAGTGTGAGGAGATGCAAGCAGAGGGAGGAAAAGTGGCCGACCGACACAAAAGGAAACTTGTGATTAGACGACTGAAAAAGCGGGTGGCCGAAATTCGAGAAGAACCTTACTATCAATCATCGAATCAAATAACAGGGCGATTTCCAAATATCAATCACGAAATCCAAACACAGAGGGCCAAAAAAATGGCGTAACTAAAATTTAAAAAAAAAAAAAATGGCGCAATGTGACAGAGACTGGCATGACCGAGCCACATGAACATAAATGAGGTCAAAAGGTTTTGAATTGCGGCCTGATAACGACAACCATACATTCCTCTCATGCCGCAGACTACATGGGATGCATCTAGATGTTATACATGGGATGCATGTAGATGTTATCATAAGCCAAGTACCTTAAAAAACACGCCTTCAGCATATAATGACAAAATAGACTTTACTCTAGAGTCAATTATCGCCTACGTAAGAAAGTATACAGTAATTATGACAAGGGCAAGCGACACACAGAGAGGTTCAGGGAGAGAGGACGATGAGCAACACGCTCGAACGCGTTTCGGACGGGCGAATGGGATGAACTGTCCCTTCCTATCACCTCCCATAATCACTTCCTGACCTTCAGACCCCTTCCTATCACCTCCCATAATCACTTCCTGACCTACAGGGAAGAAAACGTGGACGCCCCGACAGGGAGTAAACGATTGGCTACGCAACGCTGGGCGCCCCCACAGAACAACGAGACTACGATTGGCTACGCAACGCTGGGCGCCCCGACAGGGAAGAAAACGTGAGAGCCTCTCCACCTGTCCAAACCACTCAAGCTTATTCGAAACTCTCGACATGAGAAGGCGAAAAGCGGTGGAGACGACTTACTGGTGTGTCGAAGAACGATAGCATTCTCTACTACCAAGGACCAAGAGGAAAGGCGGTGGAGACGACTTATTGGTGGTTAATTTTTAAACTCGATGGAAAGGGAAAAAACGGTAGATGAATAGCTTAAGATAAATTGACAGTGGATAGACAGAACACACACATACCGCCAGCGTGCAACGATTTGCTGCTGAGACGCGTTTGGAAGCTCCTCGTCGTTCCGATGCCATGCAGCGCTGCTCTCGGCGAACTCGTGATCGATGGTGACGTGAGACCAGTCGCATCCTCCGCGAGAATATCGAGCAAGGACATGCCATTCCCCAGGGCTCCGGGGCTTCCCACTGTGTTTCCCATTTTTTTAAATTCTTTTTACAGTAAAACTAAAGTCGATTTGGGGACACAGCGAAGTAGAAGAGGAAGGCCGCGTAAAGGAATGCCCTTCGCCGCGCGATAGACGAACCCTCTCTTGTTTTATAGTCCACCGTGCACCCTTCTTCCACCAACGAGCAACTGCATTATACAGAGGTAAACGATTTACAGGTAGCGCACCTCCTCGCCCTCGTATCCGATCGGATTGACCCACGGGAAACCAGATTTTTACAGTAGGCCGATGAACCAACCAACCAATGACAGGAATCAAGCAATCAAGAGCAAACCTTCTGAAGATGGACGGCGATGCTTTCAAAAAAGAACCGCCCACTCCCAAGGTTCCCCTGTAATCAATATACAATATCAAACAGCTGAAAGAAAAAAGAATATCGGCTGAAGCTGCTTCGACAGATGACGCAGGAATATTGCTGCCAGTAATCTACAATGCCGCCTCGGCGTCGTAAAGTGGGCGAAATCCACCCGCTGAAGATCAGCACAATCTCTCTCCCCAAGAAGGTGAACCTGCTGCCAGGCGGACAGCAAGAACGTTCGCCGCACAGCGCTGAAAATCAATCAGCCACTTCCAATCGTGTTTTTCACGGCTGACCAACTCTAGAAGCGGTGACTGACGGCCGTCGATGAATTTGCCAGACGGATCAAAGGTCAACCCCGCCAATTCGTCTGATCCGGGAGAAAAGTTAATCGACCTCTCATCGGCAGAAATGAATTGTCTGACAGCTGGCAAATTTAGGTCTTCTCTACGGTCTCTAACGCTTCAGCCTCTCTCGCTTGATTCGAGAGCTGCAGCTACCACCCAACCAACCAATGGCATGCGCGCAGATATTGATCGATCGATTGATCGATCGATCGCTTGCTTGCTTGCTTGCCTTTTTCGACAAGGCAGTCAAGTGCATTAAACAGTTCACACTGGCTGAGCGATAGAGCCGCAGTTATTGATTCAACCCCAGTTAATCAATGGATTAATGTTGTTAATTGGCGATGCTAAACTGTTCCTCATTCAGAGACTCGATAGACTGAATGGTACGGCGTGTAATAGACCCCGTCAATCAATGATTTTCGGTTAAAAGCCAACTAGTGTGCGCCAAACGGACAGGACTGGATGATACCCCTCATGTGGGCCGAGATAGGATTAACCCATGCGTGGAAGGAATGCTCCCAGAGCAGCCCGCTCCCCCTCCCCCAAAATATTACCGTTGAGATCGCCGGGAACGATCTCACGGGGAACCCGTGCATTACATGTGTCTCGACGGCGGCGGAGACATCAGGCATAGACCGATCCGCCGACTTGTCCGTCCGTCTAATGGCCCTGGCCCGTTCCTCTGTCCCAGCCCCCCACTCCCGGGATATCAGTGGCCCGTTGCTCCTTCCTCAATCCACCACCAGCCAATCAAACAATCCACCTTTCGCGCTCCTTCCCTCGTCTGTTTACATGTTACTGAGCACTTAAAAGTACTACTGTAAATAAAATGCGTCACGATGGAGTGACAAAGGGGTTGTCCGATCTTTCGTCTCCTTGGGAAAAGACAGTTGAACAACCGCAAGGAAAAACACGAACACGGCGGGTCAAGTTCGCGAAGAAGAGAACCCGAAGACAAGCAGATTCTCCTCCTGCCGAATCGCATAACCCAGAATAGACCGAATGATTGTGTAAATCGGAGATTCAGAGAGAACCAATAGCGCCGACGACTGTCTAATCACCACTGAACATTCAAGCCAACAACGAAGACCACGTGACGCGTGACGAGTGGTTATCGTAATCGTTCTACGATATCGCTCGCACCCCCCCTTCGTGCAAGGGTCGGGGGACACTGCCGGCAACCCTCTGCCACCCTCCTCAACCCATCAGGACTCAGCACGCCGACCCTGCCACAAACCCAGAAACGCCGCCACGCATACTCCGACAGACAAATCAACGGCGAGAGCACGTTGCGCGGGCACAGAATCGGCGTAATGGTCGACTCGAAGGACGACGGATTTCCCAGTGTGCTTAAATCACAAGGAAACGCGATCGCCCGCGTCGCGTCGCTCATTCAATTGGCGCCCACCTGCGGCTGGGACTCAAGCAACCTACCGTATGTGACCGCGACGGAAGCAGCAGTAACCCTTCGTCAGCTTCGTGACAAGCCGCCGACGATTATGCCCCTCTTCCTCTCCCTCTCCCTCTCTCTGTGTATACCACTCGGTCTTCCTGTCAATATAATGATGGGAGGAAGATAAATTGGGAATAGCCGTCCACACAACTGCTCCGTTCCGTTTGACCGTTCGACCTTCACAGCCTTGCCTGCCTGTAATGAGAATGAGAAGGTAGTATCGACAGATCACGTGTTATCTGGCGTAGCAACAGCACTCCACCGTAGTCAAGTCGACTGACGCCAGCAGCGATCACAACGATAGTGCGCTCACCCTCACTCCTCACTTTATGACCTCAGTTATCACCGTTGTTGATCCCAACTTGGCAGCTGACTGGACTAGATCCGAAGAACGACAGAATGATCCCGCCAACACACGGGCAGGAGGGATGGTTAGCAGATAGCAACGTGCGTTTGATGTCGTTGAACCAATGGTACGCCCAATTAAGTCTCCAGCTTTCCGTCAGCGGATGCAACGCACACGCTAATTACTTATGCAGCTGCGCAAGAGAGAGAAGAGAGGGAGATAAATAATGATAGCGGTTGAGAAAAAGAGAAGGATGACGAACACAGAGGGGTCCAAAGCAGCACGGTTTAGACAGAGGAGGGCATTGAATGATACCTTCACAAGACTGTGGCCCTAGCAGCTGTCGCAGCTGCTGCTCATTCGATCTTACTGTCCTATGAATGAATGCATTCAGATCACCACCTGTGATAATATCTCCTATAGGGATAAGAGCATGGAGGGAGTAAGGACAAACCGTTGAAATCAAGAGACCGGAGCGCAGGTGGTAGAGATCCCACGATTGTAGAACAGAGTACCGCAGACGAACGGGAGAAGAAAAAAGAGGCGGAAGAGGAAACAGAGCTTATCCAAAAAAACGATTCTCGTTGGGACGAAGATGTGTGCAAGGAGCAAATGCAAGAGCAGAGGAAGAGGGTGTGATGATGCTTAGTCCTGTGTGACGAGTACAAGATGAAACCGTCAGCTGAGTTGTCGGATATGAAATAATGCACTAGCAGCAACTGAAACCTAGGATTCAACACTGCAAATGGTTTTCTGTTAGACTACGGGGGGGGAATGAATAGATGTGCACTCCCTGGCTGGCTGGTGGCTAAGGAATACACCGATCCGATCCGATAATAGGGATAAGAAAGACTGAGCCCGATCGAGATTAAGAACCTCGTGAGGTCGAGATTCAGATATTAGAGGGAGATAAGACCACAGATTGCGGTGGAAGTGAACGGTATGGTGCTGCCGCTCGCTCTGACTACCAGACGAGAGCTTACTTAGGACACTAAACGCTCAGACGCACCTAAGTCTCGCGAGACCAGACGCAGCAGTTATCAGACAGCAAATGAATGAAAACCTATCTATTTTTCGATTGCCTTCACATGGGTAATGACGAACACGCAGTGTTTGCACGATTCCACGTGGCGACCGGACAACGCGGAGCAGAGCGCAAAGTGGAGCAAAACGGACTAAAAAGAGGGTAGCAACGACCGGCTTGTCCCTGCCTAACCGATCAGCGCTCCTTTCCTTCCTCCCTTCATATGCCCCACGGTCCAAGCTGCAGGACACGGCAATTTCCAGAGTAGCGAGATCAAACGATAAAGTGCCAGCTTCCGTAGTCGTCCACCGCCTTCACCTTCTCTTCACCATAGCCAAGCCAAACTCTTCTCGGGGAGGGCTTTCCTCCTCGATGCGCGCAGACAGAGCTGCACGGCCACGGCCACACCGCTCACAGACAACTGGTTTGTCCCAAGCCAGGCGAAGGACAATCGAAGTCCAGCAAACCTCCAGCGGCCATACACGCCAGTGATGATTCGCCCATTCGTACGGCCAGTTTATAGCAGGCTAACAGCAGTACAGTGAAGTAGCCACCACGCCAACGAGGAGGCTATGGAATGAGTCAAACGGCCCTTCTTCTCCCGATCTGCCGACACAAATGGCAGAAGAGGAGAAGAGCCGCCGGCCTCGCGATCTGACCAGACAGCCCAGACAGCCCTAATCTCTTAACCACGCGCTTCTCATTACACACATCTTCTCCAGTGCTCAAAAACACAATCAGAGAGCCAACGAACGGACGACCGACCAAGGCAGCAGAGTCCACGCCATGACAGAGACGACGATGCCCTCCCGCCAAAGGTACGCCCGCCTGCTTGCTCGCTCGCCCATACCCACGCGGCACAACGAAAACGAAAAGAAACGTTAACGACGCAATCAAAGGCGCGCCCAAATGAACGAAATGAACTCACCGACATTCATCCCGCGGAGCTGAATTATACTGAGCTGAGCGCGCCTCTCCTCGCCTCGCTCGACCCGCCGCGGCGCACAGCTTGCCCCCGCCCTCGTCCTGTCCTGCCCGCCGCGCCCCGCCAAAACAATTTTTTTTCTGGAGTCACCGCACGTAACGCCCAAATCGAACGGCCCCGCTTCGCAGCCAGATTCACCGCCACTGTGCATGAGCATGTCGTCCAATACGCATGTTCCGCCCTCCCACTAATGCCACCACCATTACAAGGTGATGTACTGTGGACTGGACTGGACCACCAGAGGTTCATAATTCATAATGTCATAATGGAATGGAATGAGATGGAATGGATGAGCCTACTGCCTGCGCGCCGCGAGGGTCGACTGCGGCTGGCTGGCAGACGCTCACGACTGGAAACAGACCCGAACCCGGACTGAAGACGGACAGATCCAGGTGCTTTGCCGGATTCTCCGATTTGCTCAACAGCCAATAAGATGAGCCTGGCCGCATCATTCACCAAATGTGAAAAACGCAGAACCCTAAAGCAAGTGCATTTTTCCACTCTGCACCCCAACGTACATTCCTCATTTTTTTGCGTATATCGTGAGAAGCGCCGCGAGGGCCGATTGCTGGCTATCATTATTCGGGGGTCAAGGGTCAGGGCCCGATCACGGGAGTTCCGGTACACAGCGTAGGCACACAACCGCTGAGGAAAAAGCAATACAGCCGCTAAGGCAGCACAAACTTCAACGTCAGTCCAAACAACACATGCTTTTCCTCTGTATTTTCTGTTCTGGCACACTTCCAAAGAGATATACCCGTAGCTTCCCCACACCTCGGCCCTCCAATCGCCCAAGCGTGGGACAAGAGACACCATGCAGCCAATCAGCTTCGGATAGCATAGCCCAAGCCATTCTCCAGCAAGTGTCACGTCATACGATCATTGCCCTCAGGGGACTGCCCTGTAGAGCCGCCTTCTGCTACCCATCTCAAACCACCAGTTCATAGCTCTAAGGGCCTCTTTCCACTACTTGCCATCCGCTACCAGTCGTGGAGAGGAATGGCGAGTGGTATTTTCCTAATTTTGTGGCGGAAAACGACACGTGGTTCCATTTTGTGGCCCACATTGTGATGTCTATCCCGGCCTGAGTACCGGTTTGGATGATGGAACGGTGACATCATTTCGCCACAGCCACATTGTGGGTCTGGTACAGCCCGGTGTGGACATTGGTCCCACCAGATTGTCTACCACATGGGCGCCGGCCCTAAGGTAACCAAAGCAATGAGACTAAGAGCGCATACACGAGAGAGAGAGAGAGAGAGAGAGAGAGAGAGAGAGAGAGAGAGAGCAGGGCATATGGGTTCGATTCCCGTTATCCGCAATTGCGATTTGATGAAAAAAAAACTGAGATAAATAAAATGCGCGTATCAAAATTTAAAACTTGTCGACAAATCTTGGAAAATGTTTGGCAAACAAAAAAACTTACTCAAAAAATATATATATATATATATTTCAAAGGCTCGGAAAAAAACAAACAAGGAGAGAGAGAGAGAGAGAGAGAGAGAGAGAGAGAGAGAGAGAGAGAGAGAGAGAGAGAGAGAGTTTTGTTTCATTTGTTTGCAGCCCTAAGGCTGCGGTATAGTGGGCTTCAGCGTCTATGTCCAGGTGTCGCATTTTTGGCAGCAGGCGACCAAGATGCAAAGTGGGCTCTTAGGGGGCAAACAAATTTGGGGGACCGGTCCTTGGCAAAATTGCGGACTACCTACGGCTAGCTCTGGTAGAACCATAACTTTTGGAAAAAGGAAGGACCGGTCCTCGGGTGGAAGCGGACCCCAAAAAGAAGTGGGGGGCGTTGAACCAGTCCTCGGGTGCAAGCGGACCCCCAAAAGAAGTGAGGGCATGTGAACTGCAGAAGGGCGCTCAGGCCCAGGCGTTGAGGCCCGTCTTCTCAAAACAGGGAGGTCAGGCGCAATGAAACAGACATTTTGCAAGAGGCAACTTTGTCGGTATTTTGTGCTTGGAGGAACCCGCACGGAAATTTGAATTGCAAAATTGAAATACGGGTCAAATTGTGGCCGCAATCCATTTTACAGTTAAATTTTTTTAATTTTTTTTTTTGAGCATTTTTTCTGGAAATATCACAACAAAATCTACGAGTAATCCAATTCTCAAGTTTCTTCACACATTTTTCTGAGCGTGAAAACTCACTGAATTTGGAGAACTTTTTCAGTTGGCCCACACATGGTTGAGTGGCATAAATGGAAAATGTGTCGAATTGGCGCGACGATTATTTCACGGTCTAAATATTTTTTGTTGCGTAGCACACTGAACGTGTTCGGAAGTTTTCCGAACGTCCGAACACATTTGGCCGTTTTTTTGGCCGTTCGCGAGAACGGGAAGCGAACTCGTTCGCACAAACGACTTTTGGAGGTTTGCGAATGCGTTCGCCCATCGGACGTTACCCGCCCTTCGAGGGTCTGGGGGGGTCCTTGCGGCCGTAAGGGGGGTGTTTGGGGGGCGGGGTTGGGCGGGCGGCCTGGCGGGAAGGGGCAGCCGGGTCCCCTGTTCGAATTCGAACGAACAATCGGGCTGCCCCGCCGCTCATCCCCGATCAGCGTTCTCCAGCGGAGCATCGAACCCCCGGGTAGGTGTGCCTCCTCCTCATCCTCCTCGTTGTCGTCCTCCTCCACCTCCTCTTCCTCCTTCTTCCCTCCTTCTCCTCCTTTTCCTCCTCCTCCTCCTTCGCCATATCTTCTTCTTCATTTTTTATTTTCGTTTTTTTAATTTTTTTTCTCTTTCTTTTCTAACTTTTCCAAGTTTCTTCAACTTTCTTCTTCTTCGAATCTTCTTTTTCTTTTTCTCCTGGTTCGTTTTTTTATTCTACTTCGTCTTCTTCC